AGGATTTGCATTAACAAAAAGCAGTTCTGGGGAGCTATATTTGCTATATATATACATATTATATATATACAGCAAATATGTGTATATATATATTTGCATAAAGGCATTTTTAAGTTGTACCAGGTGTGGGAATAAACCACACAGATCTCTGTCCACCTGCCAATGACTGTTCAAGGAGGAGAGAAAAGAGAGCAACTCATCTCCCCACATCTCATAGTTGTGCAGCCTGGAAGCCCTTTCAGAGCAAACCAAAACAAATACTGTTTTTCCTTAAAAAGAACAAAATTTTTTGGTGATAAATACCAGTTTTAAATAGGCCAGAACTAAGTCATTGTAGATAGTCTGGACAAAAACAAACAAAAAACCTAACAAAAACAGAAAAAAACCCACCCAGCACAAATTTAGAATTTAGTATTTGCTGAAATTCTATGATTTTTTTCCTCCCCCCATCAGTGATCTGGGGAAAAGACTCTATTATTTTCATCTTATAGAAGGGAAAATGAAGGTAGAAAAATAAATTATTTTCCAGGACTATAAGCAGACCTGCAGCAGATACTAGAAAAGAACTAATGTGATGTGAGTCCTGATTTAATGATGTATCTATAAGACTTGCAGTAGTACAGAATACTATTGGCTGCAAAGCTAATGCTGATAAAATATGAAATGCCAAAATAGCTCTCCTTAATCAAATCTTTTGTGATCTGTATTTCAAGAGAGCACATTCAGGAACATACAATATAGCTGTTCCTTTAGGGCTGCTGTCTCATTCAGTATTCAGCTCCATACACTGTCAACTGATAAGAAGCCATTGAATAATTTACTTTCTCTTCATTGTCAAATACGTGTTTCACATCTCATTTAGAACACATGGCTCTAATCTTTCTCTGAAAACAGAATGCATAAAATATTTATGGCTATTTTGTGGAGCTTACTTTGGTAGTGTATGCAAAAAAATGATTTTTCCCTTTGAAACATCCCAGTTAGGTGAGAAACTGGAAGATACGAATGTATACTCCAAAGAGAAAATTGAATTAGAAAGAATAATCACAAGTTATGAATAATTCAGGGGGATTAATATTCAGAAATGTAGTGTCTGATTCTTCAGAGTAATTACCAGTAAAAATTATATTCAGAATAGAAATGCAGGAAATCCTGATTCCTGGGGATTCTTTCTTCCAAAATGGAACATAACCTTGAAGCTTCTTTTAGAAGTCAGTACTAAGACTCAGGACATTCCTGATGCTGCTCTGTACTGTCAGTACAGAGTACCAGTACTAATTTGAGAGAAGGATAAAATTCTTTGAGTTAGGCTGGGAATAAAAAGAATACCTCCCCAGTTAAATGTCTGCAAAGAGTAGAGCCTAAAATAAGAACTTCTGGGGAATGAGGATCCACAAGGCTGATATTTCACAAGCTCCCAACAGGAGCTCCAGTACTACATAAAGGACTGCCTGCTTTCCATCCCCCTTCTCCATGTCAGTGCATTACCATGCAACATGCTGATTTTGATGGTATACACCATTATTTGTCAGGTCCAAAGCTTGAACTTCTGTTTCAGCTGCAACACTCAGTCTTTCTACAGAAGATGCTTAAAGGATACAAAGAACACTGTGAAAACATAGACGTCTTCATAAAGTCTGAGAAAAACTAATCCAGTACTGTGCAGTTCTGTATCAGAAGCAGCAAAAGCCACTATTGCATTGGGGAAATTGCATTGCTTCCAATTCCCCACACTGTTTTATACATTTTTCAAGAATATTAAGGCAGAGGACTAGAGGAAAAGTAGTCTGTAAATATTTGATCAAAGGCTGGATCACAGCATACATAACCTAAAGATACTAAAATGCTGCACAGTTCACCTTCTTATTATCACTTCCTAACCTTTATTTTGCACTGCTTGAATTTGTAAAACTAAAAATATTCTTTTAATAGGATATTTTTTTGACTTATAGAAAATTCATCACACAAACTGAAAAAAAAAATCCACTATATAGTGTGATATTACCACTCACCTCTTCTACTTCAGCCAACTAAATACTCACAGCACTGGTGTGTTGTCACCTACCAGCAGACTATAATGATGTTTTCTGATTCAGACTCTTATTTCTGCCTTGAGGTACATTGCAGATAGACAAGGGAACAGGCTGTAACATGCCTTGTACTTATTTCTTTTGCTTTCTGCAAGGGTTTTCCACTGTATTACAAAAGCAGTTACCTTTTCTGACTCCAGTTTATTTTATTTTAGTTTTCCTCCCAACACTGCTGCCACATCACTTCCCTCCCTGAATTCTGCCTGATTTCTGTCCTCCCATGGTTTATCCCATGCCTAGAGCACTGGCCTGGAGGTGCTTTATCAGTGGGTTTGACTATCCAATCTCCTACTCCATAAGCCCAACCTTTCCCATAATGGATTTTCACTACGTGCCTTCCTGCCTTAGCCTGGCCAGCCATCTATTCCTCCAGGTGAACATCTTTTAAGCAAATGACTTTTTATTCCATTCTCCATGCTGCATAGCAAAGGAGGGACTGTAAATTGAAAGATGAGCATCTTTTCACCTCAGTGCTGCCTGGCTGCCCTGACTCAGTCTGCTGGGAGCAAGTTCTGCTCAGCATCATTTCTGGATCTTGCCAAGGAAAGCTGAGTCTTCAAGCAATTCAGATGCAAAACTTACTATGTGTTAATAGCAGCTTCTAATAATTTGATCAAGTTTTCTCATAAGTTTCATAAAATTTCCCAGAAAAATGTAACTGAAATTTTGTTCAGTTCACTACCAAATTTCAAAGCCATGCTAGATTACTAGATCAATGGAAGTATTACAGCTTCTGAAAGAAAAAGGTTTGAGAATATTTTAGCATATGTAAAATTAATTTTTTCCCTAAATTTATGCTAGAATGACCCAGTTCCTCTGGTCAACGGTCTTCAAAGTTATTTTATAAATCAGGTAATTTTCAGAACAATTATACTCAACTGAAAATCTGATATGTAGCAGGAAATCTTAGTTAATAACAGGCCTGTTACAAAAATTAGAGAGACACATCTACCTATCTATCCACATATTTGCATATATGTATAAACACTGTCATCTTTTGGGTGTCCCAAACTGAGGTTCTGTCAGAACTCCCATTTTAAATACCTCCATCTAAAAAAGTACCTTGATACAAAGAAAAAATGCTGATGCTCTCAAGAGTACAGTTCTACTGTAAAGATGGTAAATGTGTACAAGAAGAGCATTTAATTTTTATTGATTTTTTTTTTCCTGTATAGAATTTTGTGATAGGTGTTTCACATATATGAGAAACTAATGATATGCTTTCACTGCTGCATATGTTTGCTGCATATATTTGTACAGTATTGCAAAATTCCACACACTTTGCTGAGGCTGGAAACTTAATCATCATGATTCTGTTCCATGACTAGTTGACCTTCATACTTATTACCAGTTTTCAGTCCTGGTCAAAATAAGTGATACTTTATCTTTTCATTAGATTATTAAACAGTTTTTGGTGACAAGACTGAAATTCACGCAGAAGAATATTCTGTGTGTAAAGATATTAATTATGTTGTTACAGTACACTGCATTTTGATATTTGAAAACACCTAAAATAAGACATATTTGGAAGCTACAGACCACTTTCAAGCAAAAATTCACAGCCTCCATATAGCTAGAAGCAAAGGTTTTAGGAAACAATTTTTCAAAAAAGGAAAGTAAAAATTTTTAAGGTGGAGAAGCTTATTCTAAAAAGTACTGCTATATTAGGCAAATGTTAAATATTCAATCACAGTTCAGGTGTTGTTGGAAAATTTTTGGTGTATAACTGATAAGAACTTATTTAATAGGATAAATGAAACTACTTTCTTGTTTCATAAAATTTACAGTTTTTCAAGATGTAATGCTGCTCAGGGGAAACCAATCTCTATCAAAGGCTACAAAGAGGGACCTGGAGCTCTCTATAAGGCAGAAACATGACTGAGTATTCACCTGGGATGTAGCAAGTTCCCCTTTTTTTGGTACTTGATTGGGGACTTGTGCAGGGTTTATGGGATTTTGTCCCGTATCTCAGTCAAGCCTTACACAAGTATGTAGATATAGACTCCTGGCAGGATTCATCTTAGAATCATAGAATGGCTTATATTGGAAGGGACTTTAAAGGTCATCTAGCTCCAGCCCCCTGCCATGGACAGGAAACTTTCCCCTAGACCTCTTGGCTATTTCCAGGTGTCTCTACACAGGGAATGCACCAGTGACAGCAGCAGAGTCCTGGATACATCTCACTCTAGAGGAAAGGCAAAGGAAGTTAGGAATTAAGACTCCAAAATAATCACCTTTTCCTCCTAACTCTAAGGCCACCTTGCAATGGGAAGCTCCAGTGCAGCCACCTGTACTGTAAATGGTTATATTTAATTACAACTTCCCAGCTAAGCTTATTTTTTTTTCTGAGTAATAAATGTTTAATTATTGATACAACTGGACAAGCTTCCATATAAAAAGACTCATGTAAGATGAGAGATATTTAGGCTATGAAGGTAGCTATACAGTTTTGAAAAAACATTTCCCTTTTGCATCCTTCCTTTGTTTGTACCAACCTTACGATTAGTTAAAACTGATACAAAATTCATAACGTGTACTTCAATAATTTTTCTCAGGCTTCATGTCAGTAGCTATCACTACTGGTAATCTTTTTAAAAATAATGCATAATATCAATAATATTCATATAATTCCAAATATTTACCCAGAATAACATATTTTCAGATTTTATATGGATGGCTGCCTCTCCCCACTGAGGCCAACAGCAAAACATGAAAACTGAGCACAAGCAGAATCAACCAAAATCAGCACTATAGGAAGTTTACCTGATAGTGATTTTTAAAATGATTTCTAAATTATGGGAACTGTGATTTTCCCACAGCAGAGAGAAGGCTATTTTTAGCTCATACATATGAAATGAGAGTAGCATACTTCACAGGCAATTTAAAGATAGCATCATTACAGGTACTCACCTAGGCTTGACCTCGTGTTAGACCGTTCTATGATCGCATGCTTACTGGGATTGTTTAACACTGAGCGTTTGGCAAGCGAGATGTCTGCTGTGACTCGTGTAATTGATATACTGCAAAATAAATACAGCAAAATAGCACTAAATGTTATTTATCTTTCAGGGATGTGGGGAGAAGTCTCGTTTAACACTAGAAGATGGCTAAGACTATAGGAAAATAAGTTCTCAGCAGCACAGTATGCTTCACCCAATGTGAACAGAGAAAAAACTTTATCTAACTTAATACGGCTACAATAACTACTGATAAATCATCCTCCTACACGTGCCTGGGGAGAAGGGAGGCAGGAGGTGGTCAGGGATTGTTGCAGAAGATGGGACTTCCCTGGGGGCTCCAGGTCTGGTGAGGGTCTGACATTTCACCAGTATCCCCAGTATGAACAGGCTGGTTTCTCCTTTCCCTGACTTCTTGAACGGTAGTGAACAACAACCTGGCTTACTTTAGCCATGGGTGTAAGACATGTAGGGACATGCAGAATTAAATGGTAAAGGTAAGGCTTATTAGGGAAATGAGTCCAGCAATATAACTGAGGATTTTTTTGTTTGTTTTGGTTTGGGGTTTTTTGGCTTTTTTATTGTTCAGCTTACTAGCATGTGTTTTTCTAACAGAGTGCAAGAGCTACCTATAATTTTCCAGAAAGATTCAAGCTAGCAGTGAAATGCTAGCACCTAAAAATAGGAACTGTAACTTGGAGAAGCACATACTTGAAAAGCCTAGGTTGACTATCTGGCAGGCTCAGTTTTGTGTTTATGCGAAAAGAAGAGCCAAGAAGTTACTTTCAGTTGTTTGCGCTGACCTGCTACATAACCTTCTGCATATTCTTCTTCCTAGGAAAACAGTTACCTTGGTTTATTTTGTTTTACAGGGTCAAAATGCACCCTTAAGATCCTTTTCAAACTCTCTGGTCTAATGAGGTTTAGAGGTCACATTTTTCCAGTGCTAAGAGTTAAATCAGACTGAAGATATTCCCTTCTTCTTTCTTGTAGGATTTTACTTGCAATTTAAAAGAGGAAATGGATTTGCTGAGAAGTGGGAGGGCTCCTCTCTAGCAAGCACATCAGATGCTGTTTGTTCATCTGAAAAGTAATCCAATAGGCCATTTCCCAATGAACTCAACATGTGTATGCACTTATCTAAAAAATGTCACAGAACCAGAAAATAATATGAAAAACAGAATTATGTGTGCAATACTGATTAGTATTATAATTTTGGAAATCTAGGGGTGATTGAACTTAAGCTAAAAGCATAACCAAAGCTTTGTGGCACAGCTCCTCACAGATAATGCCATTTGTCTTAAAATTAAATCAAACATGTATATTGGGATACTTATTAGTTTTCTTTATTTGCTAATGGAAGGACAGTACAAACTTTTACAACTTTTTGGTTTTTTGAGTTGATTTGGATTCTTTTCTGCTGATCTTTTTTCCTACAGGCAATAGTAAATTTTTGCCATTTCAAATCAAATTATGGTATCCTGAGCAACGCCAGATTTATCAGTTTGTTTGTCTATGAAAAATACTATTCTTAATTTCAAGACTTTTTACTATCTTTCTGAGGACATTTTCATGTCTTTGAGAAATGTCACATCAGGAAGGCCAAGTCTGGTATCAAAACAAAGGGTGTGTATGTTCATATTGCAAAATAATTGCAACGAGAGTAGAGACAACAGTGTGGCAGCTCAAAGCAGTAGCATGAACCTGAGAATCTCTGGTGCAAATTTGTTCAGGGCCTTAAGTAATGATTCCAATAGCTACTGAAGTTTGGGATGCTTCAAATCTGCTACTATAGACACAGATTTTGTTTGGAGTATTTGTGGATTCACCCTGCCACAGTTGGATCTACAACTGAAAATCTGACATGCTCTAAAATGTTTAAAGACATAAAGATGCAGTAATTTTCTTCTGTTTGCAACAGATGTTTTGTTAACTTCCAATTCTGAAGGTGTGTTATCCAGGGCTTGCCAATCCTAACTAATATAAATAGGGATTACTAAAGTGGTTAGGTATTGACATCATTATTCTGACTGAGAAAATCCACCAGCTTAAACCACTATGCGTGATATTTTAAAGAATTGAAGCTATTGACAAGAAACCTCATGCTCCCTCTTCAAAGTTTTGACAGCAGCAGGACACACAGAATAGTGTTACAGATCTGACCACTTCCAAGCTAAATAGAACATTGCTTGAAGTTACAGATTTTATTATAAGATCTTCCTGTTTTCACAATTTTTCCTCCCAATGTCAACCCATTAGAACATATTAATCTGGAGCTTGATCCAATACCAATATAATCATGTCTGGAGAATGCATCTCATGTCTCTGCTCCATGGGTCTGTGATGTTGGAGTTATAGACCAGGGCACTGCTTTTAGAGTCAGACTATCATTTGACACCTGTGCCTCAGTAATGCCTGAAGGCTCAAATACAAATCCCATGTGTTACAGCCGAGTGTGCTGCAACCACTCGGGCCAGAACCCAGCAAGTGCAGCCCGAGTGCTGCCAAGGGTGAGTGTATTTCAGCAAGATAGGGCACTGCCCCACCCCCTCATCCCACTCTTTTTGAAACTTCCCACTACAGAGCCCAGAATTACGGTCAAACCAAGCTCCTATCTTGAGTGATCAAAAGTTTGACAATCCCATACACCAGATAGTTTGAATCCCATATCACTCTTTCTGAGTTGGATGCCAAGTGAGGAAGTAGAGCTGAGGAGAAACCGTGGCTCTTTCCGTTTGCTCAAAACCTGGGAAGCATTGATGAGATATCACTTGAAAAATATTTAAAATCACTTTTTAATCTGTAGATAAATATCTACCAATTTGGAGTGTGAATGTCACAGTCCTCAAGAAGAAGACATCCTTTTTTCCACTCTCAATAAATATATGCCCCAGAATACTTCCCACTGCAACACAGCCTCTGCATGCTCGGTCAAGGAAACTTCCCATCCACTGACCAAGGAATTAACTGTGATTCCTAATTTTGTCCAATGTTATTATTTCTGAAAAACCTGGTAATACCCAAATGGAACCTGAAGTATATTTGCATTGCAAAGTACTTACCGCCCTTCGAATCTATGTTTTAAAAAATCAAATAATGCTTTTTGCATCATATCTGTTACCTAGAAGGAAAAAACCAACAAATTAATAATTGCATAGAAAATTCATAATTCTGAATGCTAAGAATATTATAGAAAAAAAGCTGACAATAAATCTTGTATCCAAACAATGGGGCTGGAATGCAATTTGTTCTTAATCTCAATTCTGAGATGAAGTAAAATAAAAATAAGCAGCTATTCAGTAGGAGTAAAAACTGTCTGATGTTTGCCTATGTTATAAATTATCAAATACAAATGAAGCACAGTATTTTGTAAAAAATGAAACTATTTACAACAATCATTTACCTCATATCCCTTCAGAGAAGGCCCCACTAAAACTACTGGTCGCATAGAAGGCACTACATCATAGGGAGGGATGTGCTCTGTCTGCAAAACAGAAAAAGTTTTCAGCATCACAACACCTAGAGAAAGTGTTATACACTCTTTAAGCGTTAGGAACTCTGAATTTCCAGTAATGTCACAGGAATCTCAAATTCATTAACTTTTCCCAGGAAATGGTAGCACAAGATAAGGACATAAGAGGTCCAGGGATTTCTTTTGAAAAAACTTTTCTTTGACTTTAAGGTTTCCTACTGTTTTTATATATACTTTGGATAGTTAAAAACTCTTATTCTGGGTCATGCACATTTCCCAGCGCATACTTCCTAACTGCTAAATTGAAAAGGTTATTTCCAACAACTAATGAATCGAAATCGTTAATTCTACAGCTGTGACATCTGTTTTCAACAGGAATTTTATATAGGAAATTATAAAAGAGAAAAATAAAACAAAAGGGGATTAGAAAAGCATAATGCATCTTTTTTTTAAATGTTCAGATCTTCCCACTGCTTGAAAAAACATTGTGACATCACTGCAAATTCCGATGGCACCACTCAGTCTGACATCCACATTTGCACCCACAATTCAATTACAAATTAAATAAAAATAATGACTGATCAAGTTAGTATTTATAGAAAATTATCATAAGCAGAGCTTGGGATAGCATTTCTTCCACTTTGGGAAGTTCTTGTCACCACCCAAGAATGGATTCTGGTAGCACCATATTTACCAAAATATTAACTGATGTATCATGCAAAATTTCTAAAAAAGTATTCTAGCATACAGAGATAAAATAGATTGCCTCCTTTTAAGGGTTGCAAAAATTTTATATTGTTATCATAACACAATATAAAAAGAAACAAAATGTTAAGTTTGGTATTTTTTCTTTTTCAGTAAGTGGCTGTTCAATATATATCACCATGAATGAGGTCTAATCAGAAAGAGCTTCTTGTTCATAAGGAAAGTTTTGCTTTATCATTGTCTTGGGAATAGGAGATTGAAATCCAAACCCAGAAATGTGTGGGTGTTACAGAAAAAGAAATGCCAGATCTATTTTTCAAATGCTTACATGGTACAAATACATCAGTCAAGATCACAGAATACAGACATTGTTCATTGTTCCAGAACTCAATGTATCCCAAGGTGTTTCGCAATAACATTAAAATAAGTATATACATTCCAAAACACAAACCCACAAAGACAGACATTTATACAGTGACAGCACACAATGCTACACAAGCAGCAGTCTAAAGCAGTCTAAAACACAGAAAATATTTTTGTGAATGTTCCTCAATGTAATTTATTTTTTGTTACCTGTAGTTTCACAAGATAATTAATAACATGAGAATGAAGACCAGTGCCCAAGGCATCATAAGCATGTGAAATTAATTTATTTTTCACAGTACAGAATCTGACTCAACATGTTTCAAAGCAAACCCCTGCAATTAGGCTGGGCCTGTATCCAAAAGCAGTCCTCCACTGTTCTTGCTAACATTTTTACTAATCTGATAAGCGTATTTGAGACAGATTCGAAGAAAAATTCATTACAGTTGTGCAAGTGCTTTTAGCATGAGTGCCCTGATGCAACAGATCTTTGTCTTAATGTGGCTGACTTAACCAAAGGCATTCATGCTAGAAGTTAACTAGCTATTTGACAATCAGGGCAAGCATAGAAATTACCTTATTTGATGGAATATGGGGTATTTTTAAATTCTGTTCTGTTGCAATGGGCATTTTTTCCTCTAATTTTTACAGCTTTAAATAATGAAGCTGTCAGCAGGAAATTGAGTAGAAGTTATCTAATGGAAGCATTAAAGTTCATTAATTTAGCAGTATAGAATCTAATATATTCTAAGAGACTGGCACTGAACTATACAGCTTTCACTGCAGATTCAAGTTCAAATATGAACTCAGAATAAAAACTGGCAGGTTTGAACATAGGGCTTTTACTCAGTGATTTGGCTATGTAGATTACTTTGGGATGGCCATCCAGTACATAATGTAAATGTCAGTATTACAAACCCCACTAACACTAGCAATGACTCTGATATGGAAGAAAAGAGGCACCACAGAGTCAAAGAAAGATGTGGGACTAACCCTCATTCAGATCTAAGGTGGTTCATCTGGAAGCTGCAGCTCTGAAAGATGCTTATGCAGACAGCATCCAATACATGTCAGCATGTGTTATCCAATTAAAAATATGATTAAGTAAGAAATTACTCAGAAGTAAGAACCCGCTGTTGATTTCTACACCAGGCTTAACAGACCAAACTGAAGCCAATAGCAGTGACTTTGGAAATGAGAAGGATTCAATACTATGTAAAAGAGCTCAAGAAAAGAGAGACAGAAGCAAAGATCTACTTATTAAACACAAGAGCACCCACAGCAGGGACAACAATGTCACTTGGCACTGCTTAAGCACTATAACAGTCGGTTATTACCTGTAGATTTAAGTGAGTGGTTAAAACCAAATGAATGAGAGCTATGAAGACTACAGATTTTAAAACAAAAAAGTCAAAATGTGGTATTTCACTTCATAGTTTAGCTGCTACCTAATGTCTTGCTAAGTTCTTCCAGCAAAGGCCCTAGAAACCTACTGCAGCTTTTTGCAACAGGATGCCAATTGCATAATTCTGTAGTTATCTAGGTTATCTGTGGAGAGACATTAGCTCTCCTGGGAACCACCAGTACCACTTCCAATAGCTGAGATACTAAAAAAGTCTCGCTGATGGATGGCAAGAACATTTGGCTGATAATTTATACATGACAATAGGAAAAACCTGAAGTAAACTGTCAAAACAAGTCTGAGGTTTTCCATTGGTCTTGTGCACTTGCAGACTTTGCACCTAGTGAATTAGAAGCTTAAGTATAGACTAAATTAAAAATAGAACAAATTTGACAATTTATTTCCAAAGTCCAAACCGAGTATCTGATAGATTCCAATAATGATTTCAACAGACTGAATAATAAAGAAAAAAAAAATTTAGTAAGATATAGAAAGAATAAACATGCACTAGAGAGGTGCGTTACAATGCTAGAAACAATCTTCTCAAAGATTTTAGGCCTGCTAAGTGTGTCCTTTTATTCCATCAAAAAGGATAAGTATGTAGCAGAGTTTCACAGACACACAGAACTTTTGCCTGTTTTCCTGTAATGAATCCACTATCAGCTCAACACATCTCTTCATCCTTAACTCTAGAATAGCTGCATTGTTAATCTGGAGTTATAATGCTAATGATGCCAGTGGCAGGATAAACACAGGCGATGTCGATATAAACTTACCGATTTCTGCTTCTGCTTAGCTACAGCAGCATGGAAGAGAAACAAAGAACAACAAAGCATGCATGTTATTGGCTTGTCAAAGGACGCAGACAGTTAACAGGACTAGAAATGCGACGCAGTGCAGGTGAGCAGGTGGACAGATGGGAGCTTGGAAGTTGGTGTTACCTTCTTAAAGAAGGGCATTCTTTTCTCTTTGGAGTGGGGTGATGTTACACTGTTTGCACTGGGTTTGGGGGAGCGATGGTTTGCTGGAATATCATTTTCTTCTGCATCTAAGCCAGTGGCATCTATGTCTACAGCTATATACAGACAAACAATTCAGAATTATCAGATGACAGGGAAAGTAAAGATAGGTTAAAAAGGAAATAACAGGTAAAGAGAAATAAAACTGTCCAGAGAAATAATAAATAAATAAATAAATAAATAAATAAATGTTGACCATGAGAAAAAAAACACAATAAAACCAAGGGGGAAATTTAAAGGTGCAGTACTTTAGGATTGGAAGACAGAAGGCGATCTGTAACAGCTACTGTAACATTTACAAAATAGACCAATGGCTAAGTTTGTTCTTGTTACACCAGTGTAAATCCAAGATATTCACTTGAATAGATAAGACTTCCACCAATGTAACAACATAACTTGGTTAACAACATTTGGATTATTTTATAGCAATGAACACTAACTGAAAATGGGTATTATCAATTGAAATTTGAAATGTCACTACTGTGTCTATGGGAAATGAAGAATTAGAAGAAAAATCACTTTTGATGACAAAATCAGCCAGACATTGGTACAATGTTATCTACATTTATGTCAGGATGGACTACAATTGGCATTTTTAATCTCTTAAATAAAAATGCATTGTACTCATAAGGTACATTTATTATGAATAAGTAAACATAGATCTACTAATAGTGAAAACTGGAAAGAATGGATAGCAGAAGAAAGGAAATTTATCCCAACTTAGCTCAGAGACGTGCATCCTATGTAAAGAGTCAGGACGTAGGCAGGGTAAAATGGAAGTGAATACAATAAACCGTTGCTGTTCAATCTCTACCCCAAAAGAATATGTAACAAAAAATGCTTATACCATAACCACAAATTACGTGGTTTTTAGCAAGTAAGTAATAACAGTTTCAAAAGGAATCCTCACAGACTCAGTAATAAATACACTTTCAAAACACAAAGCTGTATTATCCTGAATGCTGAGTAGAGAAGATACCTGCCAACCACAGGTAAAATGAAACAAAACCAACAAAACCTTTCTTGTTTACAGCAATCAATCCTGATCTTAAGTAGTGGTTTAAACTTGTCTTCAGAAAGCAAGTAGATGCACAAAAGTGAACCATAATCAGTCATACATCACCACCCTCATGTGTGAAGGTGTTACCCACCTCTCCACTCCCTCTGGTAACACACACTTATCTTGCCATGCCATGATGTCGAACTGAGCCTAACCCTAAATAGATGTGTAAGCAGAATCGTTTGTATCGACTTTATCCAAACCCTTAATTAATCATTGCAAACTATTATGAAACCATCTTAGTGACCTGATTTCATCTGATTCATGAGTGGGACATCAACTAATACAGTGGCATGTGCTACTAAATTATGTAACAAATAAATATTTCTGTCAAGCCTATGTGCAGCTACTGATGGAACAGATACTTGGGGCAGCGATCTCTTTTGTTTGCATAAAGTACATTTTCCCATTTGAATTAGCCACAGATCTAATGCCTTGATGCCTGACATTCCCTGAGTTACTGTGCCTTTGAGTCTGTCCTTCCCAGGAAAAACCCAGTGAGTAGATCTGCATCCTGTTTCTACAATCTACTCCTAAAAACAGCCACAGAAATCATGTAACATTTTCTTCTAGCAACACTGTTCCGTCATCCTCTCCATAAGTATAAAAAGAGCATATTATCTTTTCTTGAATACAGGCCAGCACAGATGCTGTAAATCACTCACAATAAGACATATTAAAACTCTTTGTTACTATGTTCAACCAAAATTGTCAGCAAAAAAAATTAGTTACCTTAAGCTTTTCCTGAAGGAAAGAAATGCAGAATTTGATCAGCTAGTTACCAGTATCTCCTTTTTTCATTCTCAGTCTTCACAGTATGGAACATCTCCTGTGACAGTTCTTTTACTGTTAAATATCTTTAGTTCATTGGGGTATTTTCAGTAATTTTCAGCATTTTTCTTACCCAGTTTGGTGGCCTAACAGGACTGTATGGATTGTTTACTATATCAATATTGATTATTTAAATGCATATTAGCCTCTTTTTCATTTGTTTTTCACTGGTTCTTCATCTTGTTTGTGAGTTTGTTTTGGTTTTGTTTTTTGGTGGCACTATTTTATATTGAAAAAACCCATCTCCGACTCAAAGTAAAAAATGAAATTAACTTATTCAGTTAGTAATCTTCAACTTATTAAATAATTGATGTATTTGTAATTGATTATACTTTCAAAGAGAGGAGGTGTGGGAATAATAATTTGTGTTTCAAAGTCACTTGAGTTCTTGTTTTAGACACAAACTATGCCTCTTTCACCTTTCTTAAGACATCATTAGCAAAGGTTATTGTAGATTCAAAATCTTGCTATCACAGAATAAGTTAATGTGCACTATCCATACATATTTTCCAAATCTTTACTGTAACTGAATAAACTTTTAACAGATTTCCTTCTTTCTCTAGAAAAAACATGTTTCTTGAAAGACAGCGTCTGAAGAAATGACTCAGTGCAATGAAAATTAGAGGATGGGTAGCATCAGTCAGCTGGTAATCCAGGTGATATCTGTGCTCCTAACTCTAAATTCTGGGCAACATTCTGGAAGTACATGTACTGATCTTCAAGTGGTTTTTTGATAGCAAATAATATCACAGCATTTCAGGTGCTTTAACTATAAAATTACAACATAGGTCGAGTTGATGGACAATTTTACTACAAAAATGCAGTTGTTGAAAAAGTTGGCCTTAACAGTAAACACATGTTTAAAGCCGTCCGAAAATAAGAGATTAAGGTGTGTTCTACACACTTGCTATGGACATACATTAGTAAACTAAAACAATATTTTCGAAATAAAAGAGAAGTTAAACTGAGGCGGAATTTTTATAAACAAACTGCAATTGCAATAAAGTTGGTTGTTACTAACAAATCCATGGTTTCACAAGACAGATACGTTCTTAAATTGATTGAACCAAATGAAGACACTACCAAAACAGGATTTAATTTCTCTGTCTCCCTTTTAAATGATCAAGGAAATACTTTAAAATCTTCAGGCGCATTTTGGTCTGTAGACCAGACTCCATAAAACTGAATATGATTCGAAGATCCATGTCTTCGCCCTAGTAAAAAGGCACTAGCAACACTCATTAATATTTTCTGTTTTCAGTATTTACAATGCATATGAGAAAATAAAACATCTAGCAACACAGCAGCTGAATTCAATATAAATTGTTTTTGTTATCTTCTGCTGTGCTTTTTTAATGGAGCTAATGCCAGCATCCTCCCCCAACGTGCCATGTATTTGCTTCATATCACTTGAACCCAACCTAACTACAGTTAAATCTGTATGTTGATGTTCTAAGTACAAAATAGTATTTTTGAAAAATTTTTAAAGGCAAAAAATATCCAGCATCCTAGAATTATGTGAAGCACATCCTCATGATCAGAATTGTGAAACTAAATGTTCCTGATGTTTTAAAATAATGCCTTTATTGATGCTACTGCAGAAACCTCTCAGGAACTTCAATTTTTATTGCTGCTTTTTCTCCTGTACTAGGAAGTATTTATTGTTCAGTAGGAGTGCTCAGACCAGACCAAACCTTCCACTATCCTACTGTAATGTAGTCTCACAGATGTATTATGTCTTTACTACAAAACTCTGTGGTAAAAGCAAAGAGGGAATTTTGTGCATTAACAGCTCTATAATTGTCTGGACTTGCTGGCATTGACTCCATTACTTCAAACCACCCCAAACCAGCCTTATCTGGTAACACATCACTCGGGTTTTACCTAAGAAGAACAGGGAATAAGAAGAAGAGGTACATGGATTTTAACAGATGAGGTTCATGAGTCTCTTTACCAAAGGGTTCACAACCTACTCACCAGATGATGGAGGCGTCGATTTTCTGGAACTAGGAACGATGTCACCCAAACTGGATGAAGAGTTTCCTCCTGATTTACTGGAGTAAAGTAATACATTAGTTTGAAGTTCTGTAGCTTTCTCAATATTTAATCTAGTTTATTTATTATCTGCCTTCTAAATGAGCTGCTAGCTGTGAGACAAACAGTACTTCTGGCAGAGGTATAAAATATACATCTCGCACCAAATGTGTGTACATTTTGAGACCTGAGGAACTGCAATCATCAATCATACTTCCTGTGCTGCTGTGCAATTCATTCTGCTGCTCTGACTTCCTCAGGATCTTAATACAATTCAGTAAATAATACTGATATACTACTGGTATATATTGATTAATATTACTACTCATTAATAAGAGTAATTCTTAAGCCAGTGAGCATATCTGTTTCCTTTAGTTGAGGAATTATTGATGAATTGCTAATGAAGATGAGACTGTGTCTATCATCTTTTCAATTTAATTAACATACAAATTATTTTGCTTTCTCAATACAATATAGCACTTAAGAAAAAAAGTCTCTCAAACAAAGCAGTCTGAGGTTTTTGTCGAGTTCTGCTTAGTAAAAACCTAGCCAAGTTGTGAAAATGAAACAACAGTTCTAGTTTTTTTTATTTCAGTTACCATAATGAGAAAAGCTCTGAAAAAAATGTAAGAAAGGTTATTTCACTCTTCAAATAATTCATGCAATAGTACTAGTTTCCACTTTCTCTATATTGAAATATTAACAAGCACTAAGTTAATGCATTTGTGGTGTAGGACAAGGTTAACTTCAGTGAGAATTTCTGGAGAATGGAAGCCTCTATGATTCTCTATGAATCAGTGGGACACATCTAGCTGTGCCAGAAGTGTCACTAGAGGAAATAAGGAATCCAGCATCCTTCTGCTGAGGACAGCATGCTCATGGGAAAGGCATTTCACAGCTGGTGCATGCAGCTGAGCACCGCCCAGTCATGGTGTCCTACTCTAGATGTGCTCTACAAACACTGCTGCCCTTCCTGTGGAGATAGGAAAGCATTTCTGGCTTCCTGAATGGTTCCTAGCTCAATTACAGGTCTGTCCCACTCAAATACACTGGGAATATTTGTTTCCTTCGTACTTAAAGGGAAACAAGCGGCATTTGCTTCCACAGGTGTTACTAGAAAACTATTTTATTAAGAATTGAGAGTAAAGGTGACATTATTCTATCTTGAGTATTGTCCAGAATACCTAGAAACAGTCCTTTTTCTTATGCAATGATGGCTGCAGTCAGAGATAACAAATGACTTGACATGAAACTTCCATCATAAAATGCAGTGCTCTTAAAAGCTGTGATTGTAGGCAATGAATTTGACACGACTATTTTTTCCCTATGAGCTAACTAACAGGCACTGGCTTTGGCTTACAAGTAAACTCATCTTAACATTCTGTAATTTCTAAAATGAGCTTTAGATGTGTTTAGAAATAGGAAGACCATCAAAACAATTAAAAAATGTTACAGAATTTAGATAAGTCAATTTTAAGTAAAAAAATTTACTAGCACATAGTAAATGTACTTACTATAATGTATGTTAGCAATTATTTTACAAAAAAAGGAAGGAAACCATTTCAGTGGTAGACCACTACAAATTGCCAATCTAAATATCTACTTTTCTCCCAAATAGCAATGATACAAATAAGCTTATTAATTAGCAATATATTTAAAATGTTATGTATTATATAATAAATAATTCATTATATATTAATTTCTTCATTGATCAAAAATGTTTGTAGCTGCCACTAACAATAATTAAGCATCTATATGACTGATACACAGCATCAAATTCCAAGTTGTGTCACAGACAATGTTGCTATTATTAATGATCTCTTGTTATTACCTGGAGTAGAATTTTCCTTGTTTTGCCTTTTGTTCATGCTGCAGCCTCATGTTTTCTAGTTTGACTGGGCTTGGTATGAATCCGATTTCACAGCCTTCTTTTACCAATCGTCCTATCCACCAGTCATTATTAAATTTCTACAGATTAAAAAAAAAAAAAAGAAAAAAAAGTACCATACTAAGAAATTATTGTTTCTGGGATAACTTTGTTATTAGTTTTAATTTGCAGCTATGCCTCTTTTTTTTTGTAATTTTTCCCTGTATTTAATCACTGTGCTATGTTATTATGGCAATGAAGAATTGTGGTAATATTCAGAAATACATTAAAATAATTATTCCTTTCAAATCATTAAAATCCACAGTTCTTAAGTGGAAACCTTCCTGCAAAGACTTCATGTTTCTCCCTGGTTTTTATTTCCACCCATTTCACCATCTTTATTTTTTCTTGCTTCACAGTCTCCTCTCATATATGAGAGCTGCTTTTGCTCTCCCTTCACGGTTCTCCTTGGTGGACACCAGAAACTTAGTATCCACTCTCACCTACTGCTAGAATTTTTAGAGCTCTGTAATAATCTATTTTACTTATTCCATTTTATTCCATTCTCTATTTAAATTAAAAAATACTGCTTAACAAATCCCCCCACTTCTCACTAAAATCTTCTGAAATATGACTGAATTTGGCTGCTTATATATACCCTGCTTCAGATAGCTCATGTGATCTGCATCTTAAACTTACCATGACACATCCTCAAGGAATGGAGATCTCTGGATAACTAAAAAACCCTAACAATTACAAGTCCACCAGATAGCCCAATTAACTGAATTTCAGCTCTGTTAAATATGAGATATTGACTACTTTAACTCCACACCTTTATTCATACACCACCCCCCACCCACCATGTGTGGGAGAGGTTGGTTGATTTGCAAAGGTCTATGCAGCAGAACTATTTGCTTTTTCCATTCTTATTTATTCACCATTTTTGAAGGAAAAGAGGTCACTCATGTAGGGGCCCCACAAACAATACTTCTGGTGTTCCATGGGAATAACTATCACCAAGGAGGAATTTTGGGTAATTTGGAATATTTATGAAACTTTAAGAGAACATCTGAATGTGAAGAAAGAATGTGAATCTGAAGCTATTAATGTAGATATTATAGTGCATATTTAATTATATAACAAGTAACTTTAACAAGTGTACAGTTACCTGAATGTGAAGAAAGTAGCTCTCTTGAATCTGAAGATTCAAGAGATTAATGTAGATATTATAGTGCATATTTAATTATATAACAAGTAACTTTAACAAGTGTACAGTTAGGAATAAAACATGTAAAATGTGTGGGCTCCCCTAAAAAGAAATTAATTTTACCATCATTGGTGGATCACTGATACACAACCTACATTGCAGTATTATCTTTCACTTTGGCAGCTATAGAAATCTTGTGGTGCTTGAGACTAGCTGTAAGATATTCCAACTAACAAATAATGTATCTTAAAACAAAAGCACTTTTAAGCTTATAAAACATAAGGATATTATAATATTCATCCAATGGGATGCCTCTATGAGTAAGAATACCAGCATTTCACAGGAAGCTACACTGGAATAGCAGTTTCTCAAAGCTGTATTAGACTGAAATGTATTATTAAAATTATACACTATCATTACAAAAGGCTAACTAAATCATTAACTTGGTAAAAGGAAGAGATAGATAATTTAAAAACACCATTGAATTAAAATCTGAACAGTCACTATTTTTGTCCCACAGTACAACAGATTACCATGCAACAATATTAATTTTATTAGAAGCAATAGAAATCCTAAATCCTTAAGAATTTCTTCTGTAGAAATAAAAGCATACTTCTGCAAGGTCTCAAAGATAAATGCTGTGTCAGTATATGAAAAGTATAAGATACTTTTTAAAGTTCATAATAACACACATAATACCTTCTAATTTTAAATTTTGTTTTAAAATTTTGGTAGAGAGGTGTCAAGCTCTGAAGTTGCTGGCTCAGGTGAGTGATTCTCTGTATTTCACCTATGTTTGGAGTGCCAAAGGAAATGCAAAAATTAATTAAACACAGAGCAAAATGATGACCATGATTTAAAGCCTCAAAAGATTCATAAGGTACTATGATGCAGCAGTTTCTTCATGCAGGAAGGAATCCATCATCCTTATGTGTACTGGGTTTTAATGAATGTAACCTAATAATGAAGACAAATTTCCCTCACACTCAATCACTGCAGTGCTTTCCATCACTGTCCATGTACATTTTGAACTGAGGTTTTTCTTGTTTGAGCCCTCTCAGCAGCACAAATTGGTGAACAGCCCCTTCAGACAAAAAGAGGACAGCACTGGTCCAGAGCGGCATCCTCATACAGGCAGAAGCTACTGGAGATTAACTCAGCTTTCTTTATTTCTAGCAATAGGTTAGGTATAAAATCTGTAAGCAACACTGCATTTTATAGTCTAATATGTTTCTTTCTTTAATCTGCATAAATAATTAAAGTTTGGACAATTCAGTTCCCCCAGCATTAACTGTAGGGAGCACCAAACGTACTGAAGGAGCAATGCCTGGTGGGATACAGAGCCCTGGAGGATGGGCAGGGCCTGGCACAGAAGATGGAGGGGGAGGACATGCTGTGCAGGGAAGGGCTGGGCCCGGAGCACCCTCTGAAGGAGCTTCAACCTACCCAGACAGAACAGCTGCTGCCAAATGCCGGGCAAGAGTCTAAGTCCCGGTTTGACTCCCCATGGATCTCTTCCCATCTCGCCATTCCAGCGGTGCAGCTGGCCTGGTCCCAGGGTGCCTTCCCAGCCAATCTCTGGACCAGCACCAGTAGACAATAACTTCTCCTGGACAGCTTACAGAGAAAACCAGGTGTTTCTAAAGGCAATCAGCACAGAATGGCTGTTCCAATACACCTGGGGTTGCAGGAACATTCTAATCTATTTTTCCACCCCTCAATGCTACACACAGCCACAGACAATGTAAGAACTCAGCTGAGCTAAGCTTCCCTTCAAGGCATTTGGGAGATATGGAAAAGTTCAGGAGACTTTTCCTTCCAGATTTTCTCCCACATATTTATATGCATCTGAGACTAAGTTGGGCTGTGAAGAAAAATGCATTAACTTTTAACAGAAAACTGCTAACCCTGTGTGTCTGGTTTATATGGAAACAGAGGAAATACTTGATGTAAAGTCTGAGATTACCACTTCATTTGAAGTGCAGATGGAATAGATGACTATACAAAACCATTTGATCTAACCAAACTGAGCCTTATTTTCCAGTGCTTCAAGACTCACTGGAGAAGGCTGATGGTTTTCTCTGGCCAGGACTCTGTGCCTGCTCATCTCTTCTTTTGTCACAGGACAGAGCAGAGCAATTCTTTCACACTATCATCAGTCAGAAAGCATACTTCCTTCACTATATACAGTCTGAATCAAAATTATTCTCGTTTTGTGTGTTTAATATATATGAACAATTACGATCATTAGCCAAGTCTGTTTCTTGTGTTCCTTTAGCCTCTGTCCACCTGTATTTCTATCTCTGTATTAGGAATGTTTCTGTCTTCCCCAAAGCACCTGTGCTAGAAGAATCATTGTGCATCATCAATCGTAACTACTGAGGGATTTTTCGATAGTCTAAAATGAGGCGAAGACATAATTTCAAATACATGGCTGGGTTGCTCTCAACCTTAAATTAACTTTCTATTTATTTTCCTATATTTTTCCATATCCAGAAAATATCTGTTTTGAGACAAACCACAATGGAATATGACCAAAAGCTAGGAAACCTTTTAAAATGAAGGAGTCATTCAAAAGGGAGCAGCAGGCTACAGAGGAGGGCCTGCATGTTAAAGTTACCAAGCTACTTTTTGGGAGTGTCTTGCAAGGAGCAAAGAAACAAATTTACTTTAGGTGTTTAAAAATTTAAGAATGTCAAAACCAAACTACAGGAAAAGAAAACCAATGCAGCAAATGCAAAGCTTATTTATTGACAGTTGCAGTTATCTTGAAACATCATTCCAGTTCTTCAGCATGCAACTGCTAACTAAATACTGTCTGTGTCAGGGAAGTTACTTCAGTAACAAAACAGGAGACCTGATTTTGGGGTTAATTGAGATGCAGTCACACAGATAAAACAGAAGTAACGCTTGGCTGCTGAATCACAACAAACCCTCACAGTACCAGATTAGAAAAAAAAACCCCAGAACTACTTCATCTTTGAATAGTCAGAAATAGGCATTTAAACCCATAAATAAGCATTTTTTACTAGAGAAGAAAAGTACTTGCTTTCTGAACTTCATTAATTTGATTGTAAGAAATTTGTGCCATTGCTTCCACAAGAATAGCATTTAAAATAACATTAAATTCCTTATACACTCTTAGCTTCTTTAACATTTGTAAAGTGCTTTGGCAATGTGAAGTGTTATCAATATTGCAAAATAGTAGCAGTATTACTCAAGTATTCCCTTAAAGAGTGATTCACTTACTCCTCTGGTTTCACTTACTTCTTTAACATGAAGAAAATCTTTAGCCTCAAATGAGATGGCCATGCCTGGGACTGGGACATCATCTTCGTGAGCTGCACTGTACCCAACATTTGTCCGAACTGCAAATGCAACAGGTTTTGACTGCAAAATAAAAGATGAACATCATGAAGATTCCCTTGCAAACACATACATTTGTACAAACATATACACAGGAGAAGATTTCTCTATGTTATGCTGTTAAAATCATAAAAATTGCAAAGAACTCTCAATGCACCCATGCAAAACATAACGAAGCCTAGTTTTTACTGACATTAATTATTAATATCAGCACATTTCATAGAATATATATTTTTAGCAGGAGATAGAGCTCTGAATTAATTTGAGGTAAGTAAAGTTAGTAATAAGTAATCACAATTGACTTGGCAATCCATATAATATTGTCAGCTTGCAGTTCTGCTGTGAGTTCAGTGTTTGGGGGCTGCCGTAAGAGTCTTCTAGAGCTACAAAACCTAAGCTCCAATGACAATGGGGCTGCAAAAGGAATTGCAAGGGGAGCATGGCACTGCACCAACATTGCACCTTCCACACCATTCTTGTCTGGGCACCTACGTGCTGGTCACCTCAGGATCATTCTAAGACTGCTCCAAGTGTAGCCCTCACAGCCTCAGCCCCCAATAACTATTTGGGGAAATTGCCAATTTGGAGAAGAGGTGCCAGCAGTTGACAGTAACCCCTAAGCAAGTCACTCCACTGCACTCTGAGGGGGGAGCAATGTGCCTTGAGATCATCATGTCATTACCCAATACCAGCCACAGAGAGATCTGTTCATTTCCCTAATTCCTTCTTATGCTGCCAGCTGACATCAATTAGAGTTAGAGGATTTTCCCAAGTTTTGTTTTCAAGAAGCAGTTCCCAGAAGAGTCACACAGAAGCTCCACATCTGCACAGCTTCTCCTCACCAGCACCACCAGTGCTGAGCACCTCTCTGCACAGGTGTGGTAATACAAGGTGCCATCCAGCTCAGCCCAGCTACAGCTACCAAGGGCTTCCTCTTCTCAAAGGTATAACCATTTTCAGGAGAACGACATTTTTTCTGCTTTATTCTAGGCTAAACAACATCTTGAGCTTGCTCTCCCCACAGAGATTATCACACAGTATCCCTAGGACCCACAAAGGTTGAACCTTTAGCCCAATTTGTCATAACCTGATAAACTGTTAGAAGGGTATCCTGATATGATTATCTATTCATTATTACCCTTCTGAAACTGGGCATTTGTGAAAACAATAATCCAAACCTAAAGTTTGGTGATTTCTGCACATCAATTAAAATATCTTGCAGTCTTGATACAATGGGAATTTCCACTTCCTAACAGCTCAGATTTGTATTTTAATTATCTCCTCTATAATTTTCTCAATGTTACTTCCACTATTACCCTACATAAAAGATATCAAAATATTACAGAGCTAGTCATGCCACAAAAAAAGGAGTCGCACAGGCACTGGATTCAGTGATATCATGAATCTTCCTTAAAAATAAAGGACCCTATAAATTACTGGATTTAAATATTCATACAAAACCTCAAAACATTTCTGAATGTAAAAATAACAGACTAAGAGCTGATGATTTCTATGCTATTACTAATTTCAACACTCAAAATAAAGAGATGAATAATCACTGAATTGTCAAATCTCCTAAGCAATACTTACCATCAAATAATAAAGAATCAAATCATTCCCTGTTTTTAAGAATGACCATTTTGTATGGCAGTGACCTGTCACTGTAGAAATATATTTCAGAACAGGAATGGATCTATTAAGGAACAATCTGTGCCAAACACTGATAGGAGGGATAGTACACTTGCTTATCCATTCTCACATTTCTATATTCTCTAGCATATAAAAAAATTGCTTAAGCATTGTGACTTGCTCCTAAAAGTAACAGTGGATGAAAGACTTTAGGTTGACTAAAGACTTTAAAATCTTGGCAGCATTGCAACAAACAGGCATCTCCAGGAAGTTAATGTCCTTGACATACTTCTTAGACACGATCTAAAATTTCCTGTTAGAAGGCAACACCTGACTACCCAAGAGAAAGAATACAAGAATACAATACAAAAGAATACTTTCTGGAGTAGGAAAGTACTCCAGAACTATGTTTACATGAAAGAAAAGTAGCAGGTGAAAGTTCTCTGTCATTCTCTGCCATGAAAAAAATGCAAAATTGTGAGCAGAAAAACAAAGCGGAACATTGAGTTACAGATACTCACAGAAATGGTATGTCCCATTTTAGATACTTGCCACACTGGTAGAAAGTGAGACTAAATTATCATGGGATTAGACTACAATAATTAATCTAATTGAATATTTAAAACTTATTAATTTATAGAAGTTAAATGCTAGCCTTTTTACATAAATAAATAATTCTGAAGGTTTCATAGCACTAGCAAATTAAGTATTTTTCCTGAACTACATTGTCTTGAACTAAAAAAGCCCAGCTGTTATGTAATTAGGGTATTATGTAAAAAAAAAAAAAAAAAAAAAAAAAAAAAAAAAAAAAAAAAAACCAAAAAAAACCAAAAAACACATGCATATGTATATTTGAAAATGTATCTAGCATTTGCTTACATATCCTGCAGTTCTAAAATAAGACTGGGTCAAAACAGTTAAGCACTTGCTGTTCATTCCCTAAATCTCCATGAAAATGGGATGGCAGTTTAGCACTCAGTTAATCCACAGGCTGGACTACCAGGACAGATGCTCCCAGATGTTAAACAGTTTAACATGTCATGTCTCTCCAGAGAAACAAAGTAGCCTGGAAAAGTTAATTTATCTTCAAAATTAACACTCCCATCTTGCTTTTCCTTTTTTCTCTGGCAGAAGTACAACATTCAACCAGCTGAATAAACCCAGAAGGAGAACAATCAGACCACGAACACTACCATCACCTATACCATGAGGACAGCAGGGAACACGCTCTGGAATGAGGTTCTTCATGAACCAGTTTCAGATTCTGACATAAACTCAAAATATAAATCAACAAAATCTTATTCAACAACTGTTTAACCAATCCTGGCTGTACACTTTTGGTAACATACATAAATTAAAGTGTGTCTAGACTTTACTCAATTTTCTCTTTTTCTATTTGGATGTCACCTCTTCCTTCACAAATTCTATTTACTTTACACATCTTCATAACAACCCTCATTACTAATTTCATACTATTTGCAGTATTATTATACTTTACTACTTATATTTCCTTGTGCCATGATTTACTTGAATGTAAACATAAGAATTTGCACATTGTATCTGTCTTGGTCAATTTGTCAGTTTAAAAAAGTTTGTACCTGTTTTGTTGAATTTGCATTCAATAAATATTTCACCCAATAATAGAGCAAAATAATACAATCTGTTCTCCGGTAACGTACTCAAAACATGACAGGACCTTTTTTTTCCTATAACTAATTTCAGGTTTTTTATGCTGTTCAATAAACCCAGTGGACGCAGCCCCTGGGGATCCCAGCCAAGGAGGCATATTTTCTGTTATGGAATTTGCTCACAGAACAGGTCATCTCCCTCATGGCCACTAATTTTGGAATTGTTAGTTGATAATCAAAGTATCTCTATTCCTCATCCACTACTAAGATGTAGAAAAACTGATGAAAGCATTCTCCAAACCATTTCTGTCTACACTTGGGTTTGATCTAGGATCTCTGATCCATCTTATTTCTTACTCTGTCACATCATTCCCACAGTAGAGGCATCTCTGTATTTATACCAGTTTAAATGAAATCAGAATGCAACTTTGTGAAGGCAATGCCAGCTAAGACAAGAACTGACTCAGAAAATGATTACAGCTACCATTTCAAAAAAATGCTTGTCAAAGCTGGTGTCTGTGTTACAGTTCAGAAAATGTGTCTCAAAGCTAGTTCACTCCCTCCCTGTTTCTTCATAAAGCTACTCGTTCTTCATCCTAGCCACTTTTCACACATGCATGCAGCCTTATCCTGAACATAAGGAATTATTCTTCTCTTGGGTAATGAATATAATGGATGTCTCTCAAATCACTAACAAGTTTGCACTTATGAAAATTTAAAAAGTCACACAATTTCTTTCATCAGAGGAAAGGTGATTACTACTACTGAACTTTTCACTAGCAGTCTTAGTGGGGAGCAAATATGACAGATGATGACCTATGTTCAGCACTTTTCTCACAGAGTAGCCCTGTACACAGTGTTTGTGCCATCCACAATATTAATACTCTAAGAAGGACAAAGATCAATAGCACCATGATGGCCTAATGACTGCTGTGTTGAAAACATCTCACTTTATTTTGCCCTACTAATGACATAGAGTCAAATATATAAAGCAGAAGCAGTTCAAAACCTCTATGTTTTACAGAATTGCATGTTTTTTATTACTATTGTTGAGAAATTTACAATGTTATGAAACCTATACTGTCACAAAAGCAGCTTGAGAATGCAAATGCAAGATTAATAAAATAACTTTTCTATTTTACCTTTTTTACTTTGCACATTAATTTATGCACCCGTTACACAAGAAAGAAAAACCAAACTCACCTGAGAACACAAACAATTTACAGGAATTTTTTTTTGTCCTAAATGCTGATTATTGCTGGAGCCTTGTGACAGATAAGAAATTGTCCACAATCTCTAACAAGAGCATCTGCTCAGCAATCTCATTGCTAAGGAAGCAATGACAATTCATTAATGTCCCAACAGAAAATTAGGAGCACATACAGCTGCTGTCACTAAAGGCAGAGATCAAAAATATGACTTCCCAGCAAAGATCAGGCCTTCTTTTACAGCCATAGGTGTGTGCACCAAACAAGCCTGGTAGGAAGCCAGAACCACAAAACAACTGAGGTAGGAAGGAGCCTCTGGAGTCTCTCAGTCCAACACCTGCCTAAAACAGGTCTGTTTTATCAGGCTGCTCAGGGCTGTGTGCCAGTGAGTCTTAAACACCTCCAAGGACAGAACAACATAACCTCTCTGTGCATCTTCCTCCACTATTTGACTACTGTGGTTGTGAAAAAAACATACAGGAACTATGGTTCTCTCACATATCAATGAGTGAGGAACATAGAAATCCATAATGGAAAACAAGTGCTTAGTTTTGTAGTC